TGGCGCGGGGCAGACGCGTATCCTGCGCACCCAAGGACCGCGGGGACCCAGCCCGAGCCCGAGCCCGAGCCCGAGCTGCGTCGCGAGGTGAGTACCTCGTCGCCCGAGAGGACGGTCCCGAGCCGACCCGGTGGGGGCGCGGGCGGGGACGCGGAACGAGACCGCGGGGAGCTGGCGGGGGCTCCCAGGTCTGCGGTCTCCGGTGTTACGGGTCGTTCGGCGTCGGACTGCTCTGTTCCACGGCGGAGGCGCACCCTCCGGGCTCAGACGGCACCTGGCCCTCCACCGTCGGGCAGGCTCGGGATCCCAGGGCCTCTCCCCATCCTGGGCTTCGGATTCTCCCTTCCTCCGCCCCTAACCCCCAGGTGCGCACGCAGCACCGCGGCTGCACCCGGCGGGGTCCTCGGCGGCGCGTGCGCCCCTCTGCGGCGCGCCCCCAGCCCCAGGACGCTCCCGGAGTATCCGACTTGCCCCTGTGGGTGAGGGGAGTCGGCATCCCGCCCAGCCGGCTCTTCTTCCGCGGCCCACACTTGTGACTTTGACCCCGGCAGGCGCCGGTCACTGCCCTGCCCAGCTCCGGGTCTCTTCAGAGCCCCCCTTCCTCTCCTCTGACTGCGGGTTTATGTCCCGACCCTGAACCGACTGACCCCTGACCTCTTGGCGCCAGCATCCTCCGAGGGCCAGCCAGGGCTGTGTTCATGTCCTTCTGTGTTGGGGACATGGTGTGTGTTGGGGGGGAGCACATTCTGGCCCGCATCCCAGGGCTGCCCGACCCAGTGGGGGTGGGGAGGAGGCAAGCTTCCTCAAGGGCCTGTGGCCCGGATCCCGCCCCAGGTTGTAACCTTCCTTAGTTTCACAAAACATCCCGCCTTCCACTTCCTACCCTAGGGGCTCCCCAGAGTGTCTGGGAGGCACTCTCCCTGCCTGTGCCACCGGTGCCTTCCTTGGCCAATAGAAACTACTCCCACTGGAAGTTGGTGGGACACTGAGTACCCAAGTCATGTGCCCTGCGGAAGATGGCATGGGGCAGTGCCAGCTCAGTAAGCAGCAGGGCCAGCCCAGGAGGCCCGTGTGGCCCAATGGGCCTGCTGCGGAGGAGGGTGGAGGGGAGGCTGGAGCCACAGCAGGGCTGGGGAGAGGCTGGCAGCCTGCCTCTCTGGCGCTCACCCTGTAGCCTGAGGGGGAACTGTGCATGGTCCAAGGAGGTGGAAGGGTAGGGTCCCGGATCTGTGCTCCCCAGCCCTACCTGCTCCTTGCCGGGGGAAGGTAATAAGGTGGAAAGGGGGCCAGGCACAGTGCTCCGGCCAATGGGAGCCCTGATAGCTCCTCCACATCTGGCTACTTCGTCATCCAGGGCTCCAGTCCTCTCACTCGGTGGACAAACATTTATCACGCGGCTGCTGGCTGTAGCTGGGTGTCAGTGTTTACCCCACACTGGGGGACCTGGAGACACACAGATCCAGATTGGCCCAGCAGGTAACAGCCCTTTGCCCGATGGAGTTTGCTCATTGCTCATCCTCCCTGACGAGAGGCAGGGGCACCCACTTGGGAGGTTAAACAGTTTGTCCTTGGTCCCAGCCTCCCACCTGGGTGCTCCTGGCAGGGACCCCAGAACCTCAGCCTCACACAGCTGGAAACTTGTCCATCCCACATGCTGCTTCCCCTTTAGAGGAGTGTCCCAAAATCCTGTCCAGACTTCCCTGCTGCTACAAGGAGCAAGGGACCTCACCCACTTCTGCCCCTTCCCAGATTCCCGTCACAAGTCCAGTGGGAGGGTGCCAGGGCCTTCATGTTCTCTAGGCCTGGGTCCCAGGAGTTATTTTTATTTTTATTTTTATTTTTTGGTACCAGGAATTGAACCCAGAAAGGAGTTCTTTTCTCCCTCCACCCTGTGGCCTCTGGGCCCCAAGGAGGGAAATCTTAAAGGATCCCAACCCTACTGTCACCTTTTTTTCTGGGAGGGGGTGAGTTTTGTTTTTGTTTTTGTTGTTTTGAGACAGGGTCTTGTTCTATCATTCAGGCTGGCCTTGAACATACTATGTAGCCTCGGATGGCCTTGAATTTACAGTGATCCTCCTGCCTCAGCCTCCTGAGTGCTGGGATTACAGGCATTTGCCACCATGCACAGCCCTTCCCACCTTCTATGGAGTGGTTGTGAGGGGACATGGAGAATGGCCATCCCTGGCAAGCTCCTGTAAAGAAAGGTCAGGGAGCAGCCCATCGCCGAGCACTGCTACCTCTGGACCCTGCTTTTCTCCAGGCACTTCTAGACACACAGACCCCCCCGCCTCCCACTGGGTGGCTTCTCTGCGAAAAGCTCAGCAGGTCCTGATAGCTCAGGATCAGCAAGGAGGCCCTTAGCTGCTCCCATTATCAGCAGGGATATTGGGCAAAGGCTGAAGGTCCTCCTTGGGGGGCTGTCCTTCTCCTGGGGAGCTGCTGCTCCTTGCAGGGTCTGGTGCATCTTGTGCAGGCCCCTGCCTACATCTTCACTGTCCACAAACCCTGGCCAACTCCTGTCTCCTCTGTTCCCACAGCCCCCCACCCCAGGGCCTCTGGGAGATCTGGAAGCAGAGGGCAGCAGGAGTGGGTCGGCTGTTTTTTTGTTTGTTTGTTTTCCGGTACCAGGAATCGAACTCATGACCTCCTGCTTGCCAGGCAGGTGCTGTGCCGCTGAGCTAAATCCCCAGCCCCCTGGCTGTTTCATAAGAACCAGGAGACCAAGTCCTTTAGTGATCCAGGGCTGAGGGTGCCTGACCTGCCCTCTCCCCACCTGCCTGCCGCCTTCTCCCAGCTCATTCTGTGGTGGGCTTCTCCCCTGGTCCCCAGTCCCAGGACTCGGCTCACTCACAACCTGGCCGTGGCCTCCTATCTGTGCCTGTGTACCCCAAGGACCAGGCTCAGGGTCCTGCAAAGCCTCTTCATGCTCACCCTGCAGGACTGGGGGGAGCCCCTGCCCCTTCTCAGCTGTGGGGCACCTCTCTCCTCTTTGGCACTGTCTTCTGTCCTGTGTCTGTCTGTCAGTCCACACGTCTCCCTCCCTTTGAGGGTGTGCAGGAGAGAGACCATCACAGCTGGACTCCCTGCTGCAAGGGTCCAGGGAGTCCTGCTTCTCCCAAGGGATTCAGTCAGAGCAAAAGAGGGTTCTGCTGCCATCTTGCACTCCCAGGACCAGGCACTGTGGCCCCTACTCCCTTATATAGAGGGGTCCCTTATCCGGCATCCAGCCTCTGGCAGTGCTAATCTCAAAGGAATGTGCTGCCAGCCAGCCTGTGGTGCTCTAGAGACACAGAAGCCCTGCCTCAGTTGTATCTGAGGCCATGGGGCCGTATGGCGGGGTGGTCCTGAAAAGGGGACATGCATGTGAAGAGGCTCATATGACCATGTATTCTATACACCTGGACTGGCCCTGCATGGCTGGGAGCCGGCCTGGCTGTGAGGGCCAAGTAACACCCGAGTCAGGCTTCCTGGCCAGCCACTTTCCCACGGGTTGGACCATTGGACCAAAGGCTGCTGCCCCTCAGTGCTTTGGGGCCAGTCATCAGCACAGGGGATTCTGGGACTGTCAGAGCCACCAGACAGGACCCCCCAGGTAAAGCCATCTACATAACCACACAGCCCTCCAGGGGTGGAACAATGCATTCCTTCCCTTCTAGCTCCCAAATCAATAGGGCTGGTTTTAGAGGAGCAGGATACACCTGGCTAGGACTTGTCTGGACCCCACTGCTTAGATCCTCTGCAGTGCGAGGAGGGGCGTGCATACCCCGAGGACCCAGACATAAGGCCTCTGCCAGATGTGGGGGGGCAGCAGCCCAGAAGTATGCCCCCTACCCAGCTCTGCTACCCCTGCCTGCTGCTGCTACTACTGCTGGTCTGCCAGGTGAGTGCTATGTGTCCCTATCCCTGCCCCCAGCCCGGGATACCCACATTCCCTCTATACTGACTGCCACTGGCTCTCTATCTCACCTGCCTACCTGTCATTCTGGCTGCCCCTCCACCTGTCCACCAGCCACAGGCCTCCTCTGCTCAGGTGATGGACTTCCTGTTCGAGAAGTGGAAGCTGTACAGTGACCAGTGTCACCACAACCTGAGCCTGCTACCTGCCCCCACCGGTGAGTCCCAGCAGCCCCAGCCCACCTTGTGGGAAGCTTCCTGGTGCTCCTGTCACCCCAGCTCCCACTGCACTTACAGGGAAGTGACCAAGCAGCTCACATAGGCTGGGGCTGGGGGACAGGCCACAATGCTTAGGCAAGAACTAGTCCCTCAGGGCTATTGAGAGACTGGAGCAGGAAAGCCCATGAGGGGCTGTGGCAATGTCCAGAGGAAGGAGGGTGACCTGTGTGGGCACAGGGAGAGCAAGTGTGTCACTGAGGCTGGCACTGGACCTGGGATGGATGCCCGCAGAATTGGGGTGAAGCTGCAGAGAGGAAGGTGCTCAAGAAAGCAAGGCAAGGAAGACCTCAGCATGCAGACATGAGATAGAGGTCTCCCCTAAGGAGGGTGCCTGTGCAAGTCACCTGGCACAAAGGTAACCCTGGGGGACCTGGGGTGGCTGAGGGGAGTGAGACCTGGGGGTGGGCTAACCAGAGCCTGCCTCACAGAGGCAAAAGTGGGCAGAGGTGAAGATGCGCATGGTTGGTCCAAGAGAAGCAGGTGGTTGGGGGCCTGGCCCAGGTCAGGGAGGTAGCAGCTCTGGGCTGTAGGCTTTCAGAAGAGATGGGCATGTTCAGGTGGCTTCCAGGAGGAGGAGAGAGGCCCCTCACCCAGCCAGACTCTGCTGAAGAGGCTCTGCCTCTGCCTACCTCCACAGAGCTGGTCTGTAACAGAACCTTTGACAAGTATTCCTGCTGGCCAGACACACCTCCCAACACCACAGCCAACATCTCTTGCCCCTGGTACTTGCCTTGGTATCACAAAGGTAATCCTGGGGGACCCAGGGTGGCTAAGGGGGGCGGGATCTGGGGGTGGGCTAACCAGAGCCTGCCCCATGCCCCAGTGCAGCACCGCCTGGTGTTCAAGAAGTGCGGGCCCGATGGACAGTGGGTACGTGGGCCCCGGGGCCAGCCATGGCGCAACGCTTCCCAGTGCCAGATGGATGATCAGGAGATAGAGGTCCAGGTCAGCCTTGGTGGGCAGTGGGAGGGCACAGCAGGGCTGGGTGGGGGCAGTGGAGGTGGTCCCTTCCCAGCCCTGACTGGGCACTGTGGTTTATTAGAAGGAGGTGGCCAAGATGTACAGCAGCTTCCAAGTGATGTATACAGTGGGGTACAGCCTGTCCCTAGGGGCGCTGCTTCTTGCCCTGGCCATCCTGCTGGGTCTCAGGTATGTGTAACTCAAGGCCAGTCAGGGCAGCCCCAGGGGACGTGGCAGGCAGCACTGACTCGCTATCCCTGCAGCAAGCTGCACTGTACTCGCAACTACATCCACCTGAACCTGTTTGCATCCTTCATGCTCAAGGCGGGCTCTGTGCTGGTCATCGACTGGCTGCTCAAGACCCGCTACAGCCAGAAGATCGGAGATGACCTTAGTGTCAGCGTCTGGCTGAGCGATGGGGTGAGTGCTCGTGTCTGACCAGGGTGGGTGGGGGCCCTGGGATCCCTGTTCACACTCTATCCTGCCCTGCAAAGGCGGTGGCCGGCTGCCGTGTGGCTGCAGTGATCATGCAGTACGGTGTAGTGGCCAACTACTGCTGGCTGCTGGTGGAGGGTGTGTACCTGCACAGCCTGCTGAGCCTTGCCACATTCCCTGAGCGGAGCTTCTTCATGCTCTACCTGGCTATCGGCTGGGGTGAGTGGGCTGGTGCTGGGGGTGAGGGCAGGCCAGCCAGGCTCAGGACCTCAGCCACTGCCCCCTACAGGTGCACCCCTGCTGTTTGTCATCCCTTGGGTGGTAGTCAAGTGTCTGTTCGAGAACATCCAGTGAGTACAAACAGATCGAAGGCTGGGCCAGGGTGGCCCGGGTATTGGCACTGGACTTGTGGAGCAGCCTTGGGGAGGCAGGGTGTGCTCTGGCCAGAGGCGGTGCAGGGTATGTGCAAATATGGTGCTTGGGGATGGAGTTGTTTGTGACCTCCCTTCTTTTCTTGGGACACTCGTTAGAATTGAAGTTGGGGGCAGGGGGCAAGGGGCTGGGTGCACGTCCAGGATGTAAGCAGCCACCCCACAGGTGCTGGACCAGCAATGACAACATGGGCTTCTGGTGGATCCTTCGTGTTCCTGTCTTCCTGGCCATCCTGGTGAGGAAATAGGAAGGGGCTGTGATGGTGGGCTCTTCCAGGCCCTCCTTCCTGAGCCTCTGAAGCTGAAGGAGAGGTAGCATCCTGCCTTGAGGGAAGGCAGGCAAGCTGGAGCCAGTGTGCATCCAGGACATCACCCTTGGCTGCTGACCAAGCTGTTCATCCTTGGCTAAGTGCCCACCAGCCCAAGACCACATGGCCAAGGGCTCAGCTGGCCACAGGCCTACCTGCAGGAGGACAGGTGGGGGGCTCCAGGCCACAGAGCAGTCCAGGTTTGCTCTGACCTGTGCCTTCCTCACAGATCAACTTCTACATCTTTGTCCACATCATTCACCTCCTTGTGGCCAAGCTGCGTGCCCGCCAGATGCATTACGCTGACTACAAGTTCCGGTGGGTGAGATCAGGGGCTGGGGTGCACAGGCCTGAGACCCCCAGGGCCAGCACATGCCTGGGAATGGGGCTCCAAGACCCATGTGGACAGAGCCTGGCCCAGGCAGGCTGGCCGAAGTGCTCAGACTGCCTCCCCTGACAGGCTGGCCAAGTCTACCCTGACCCTCATCCCTCTGCTGGGTGTCCATGAAGTGGTCTTTGCCTTCGTGACGGATGAGCAGGCTCAGGGAACCCTGCGTTCTGCCAAGCTCTTCTTTGACCTCTTCCTGAGCTCCTTCCAGGTGACCACCCACCTTCCCTTGAGCCCCCATGGACAGGTGCCATCCCTGACTGCCCTTTTTCTCCAGGGCCTGCTGGTGGCGGTTCTCTATTGCTTCCTCAACAAGGAGGTAGGTAGGGACTCGGGACCCTGGGGTCTTCCCTCTGGCCCCTATTTACGTGCAGCATGGAAGTTGCCTGGCTGTGGGGCCCCTTGGCACTGAAGCTCGCTCTTGGGAGGTGGGTGCCATTCTGGCAGTCCTGACTCCCTGGACCCACAGGTGCAGGCGGAGCTGTGGCAGCGCTGGCAGCACTGGCGCATGGGCAAAGCACTGCTGGATGAACGCGTCACAGGCAGCCACTCAGCCCCAACAGGGCTCACCCGCGGCCCCCTCTCTGAGAAGCTTCAGCTGGTGAAGGGGGTCAGCAGCAGTGGGGCCAGCCAGGACCCCTCTGCAGAGACCCCCTTGGCCAGTGGCCTCCTTTGATTGGCTGAGAGCCCCTCCTGAGGCTCCGCTGGAGCTCTGGCCAAGGCTGGACTCAGGGACCAAAGAACTATTCCAAGACAGTCCTGAGCTAGATGCCTGCCCAAGGCTGGGGCAGCTGACAGTGGCCCCCCGTTGCTATCCCCTCTTCCCTGCACTGTTCCTATCCCCTGGGCTAAGGCGAGATGACTCAGGTATGGCACGGGAGCTGAGCCATGCACTGCAGGCACAATTTCCCATGTGTGTTGGTGTCCTATATGCACAGAAGTATATGTCCTCCAATAAACAGCTCAGGTAGTGGTCCCTGTGAAGGTCCTGGAGAGCAGGGTTGGAAATGCCCTGGGTGGAGGAGTGTGAGTAGCGGGGCCAGGCCTGTGGAGGGGGACCTGTGATTGCTGGGGCTGATCACTCCTTCCAGAGGGCTCCTCCCAACACCCACGTTGCACAGACAGCTGGAAGAGCCTCAAGGGTGGGCAGCCATCTGTCCCCAACTGAGCAGCTTCTGGCTACCCTTCCATTGTCTGGGGCCTTCTTTGTCCTCAGATCTGCAAAGATCCTGTTCAGCAGCAGAAGGTTGTGAAGGGGGATCATGGCCGAAGGCCAATGGCATCACAGTCCTCCTGCCAGTCCAACATGGACACCAAGTTTATGGAGAAGATATTTTCCAGACAGTCGTCTCCCTGGAGGCAGTGAGAGCACCAACAGACTGAAATGGAGAAATGGGTGTCCCCAGATTGCCCTGTGTCCAGGTGAAGGTGGCAGTGGGGTTATCCAACTCCTGCATAGCCCCTGTCACTCATTAGAGAATGAGCTCTGCCCCTGTGCTGGGCACAGGAAGAGCCGGGAGATGCTTGGGGTCCCAATATCTGGAGGCAGCCTGAATCTAAATTGCTGTGGAGGCACAGGGTGTGTAAGGTTGCTAGTTCTATCCTCAAGACCATGGGGCCGGGTAGTGGCAAGTCCAGAGAGGGAGCTCGGGGTGGGGTGGGAAGGACCCTTCCAGGTGCCCCTGGAAGGAGAGGTTGGGCCGTAGGTGAGAGGTGCCATTCAGGCTGGGGATTTAGCTCAGCAGCACAGCACCTGCTTGGCAAGCACGAAGTCGCGAGCTCAATTCCCAGTACCGGAAGAAAACCAAAAAAAAAAAAAAAGGTGGCATTCAGGCAGTGCTGGGCTAATTGGAGCAAATGGAAGGACAGGAGTTCTCTCAGGAAAGGTAAACAGAATTACCTACCAGGTGCTGGGGCCCTCCAAGGGGGGTCCTCACCCAGCCACCCCCACTGAAAGCTGGGGAAGCAAGGAGGGAGGAGACAGGCAGAGGTCCCTTCTAGGACCCAGGTGGGGGTCCAAGGCCAGGGGCTGGTCGAGTGGCTGCACCTGCTGTAGGCCTGATCTCAGGGCTTTGGGTCAGCTCTCATCCTAGCCCAAGTCCTCTCAGCCTGACATCACAGCACAAGGTACCCACATGGGCGCAGGTGCACTCTGAATTAGCACAGGAGGGTGTAAATTCTTCACGCCAGCTGAGCTCGGGCTTGAGGACTGCTCTGGGGAGTTTGCCACTCACCAGGGGCCTCCTAACAGCCCTTCCCCTATCACCAGTTCCTCTGCCCTTGTCCTCCTTCACCCATGCATATCCCTGTTTGCAAGGGAACTGGAGTAGGCTGATGTGGAATTGGGGCGGAGGTGGGGACCTGCCAGGGCTGGACTCACCTAGACAGCAAACACTGACATCCCCCCCCAGGTGGCCTGCAGGTAGACAGGTGGAGGAACTGGCTTCCAACTCAGCCCAGGGTCCACAAGCATCAACCATTCACGAGACCCCTGTGCTGCTACCCCCCATCTCTACCCCTCCTTCCCCACCTCTTCTCAGCCCTGCACTTTGGTCCCCTTTCCCCGAGGAATGCTTGGATACTGCCCAGCAGAGGGAGGAGGTTGCCTGTTTGGACCCAGATGTCACCAAAATGAGGGTGAAGACAGAAAAGGCATGGACTAGGATAACCAAGGGTCAGATCTGGGGGAGCAGGCAGTGGGCACCTGGGCAAGGACCTCAAGTTCAGCAGAGGGCTCAGGAGAGAGCCACGGAAAGATTACCCAGCCCAAACACACTGAGCAGAGACTTGGCGGACCAGCGGAACAGTTCAGGAACAGTATTCAGACAAGTACTCTGTCCCCAGCTACCATGCCTCCCGCATCCACATTTTGAGTTCAGCTGCCTACCTCATTTCCACCATTTACTTACTGCCGGCCCCCCAGTAATCCCAGTATTCAGGAGGCTGAGGCAGGAGAATCACCATGAATTCCAAGACCAGCCTGGGTTACATAGAATTCAAGGCTTGAATTTACACAAGACCCTGTCTCAAAAAAAAAAAAAAAAAAAAACAAAACGCCAGGGATGTAGCTCAGCCTGGCAAATACAAGGTCCTGAGTTCCATTCCCTGTGAAACCTCCCCCATCCCCCGCAAAAAGGGACAGACCTGCTACTCAAGGATGCACCTGCCAAATGCAGAATGTGGGGAACTGGGCTGGGGATGTACCTCAGCAGCATAAGTGCTTGCCTGGCAAGCCTGAGGTCATGAGTTCGGTTCCCGGTACCAAAAAAAAAAAAAGTAGGGAACTGTCAATGAAGGCCCTACAGTGGAAAAAGGCTAAGAGGGACTCAGGGACCATGACACTTGGCCTTCACGTCCTGGGTCTGTGACTTACCTGGATGTGCTTGAACATGGGGCAGAGGTGACACTGCTATAGATATGCTTAGTACTCATTTTTTTAGAAAATAAAAGCTAAGGGGTGGGGTGCACCTCAGTAACAGCGTGCTTTCCTACCATGCTGCAGACCCTGGGTTTGATACAAGGTACTGGGGAGCTAAGATTTCCTTACAGGGGAGCAGTGTTCCTTCATCTATAAATTGAGGTTATAAAACTTGCCACGTGGAATTGTTGGCATTGGGTGAAAACAACATGAATTTGCATGGGTTTCTGTAAGCAAATAGCATGGGGTAAGGGAACAGACCTCCCAGCCTGTGAAGGCCACTGGCACCTTTGACAGACAAGAAGTAGCAGCATGGCTGGCTCAGAGTGGGGGTGCATCCCTCCACAGCTAGTCTGCAGTCAGGTCTGCATGGACACTGGGGGTGGCATCCCCATTCCAACCCCAAATGTATACTCTCTGGCCTGGATACAGACTTCCTGGGATACAAAGCTGTCATTATGCTGGGTAAAGTTGGGGCATCAGGCGAGCGGGCCTGAGGCTACCTCCCCACACCTGCAATCCCAGCACTCAGGAGGCTGAGGCAGGAGGATCATTGTGAGTTCGAGATCAGCCTGGGCTACAAAATGAGCTCAAGGCCAGCCTGAACTGCATAGTGAGACCCTGTTTCAAAAAAAAAAAAAAAAGACGGGCTGGGGATTTAGCTCAGTGGCAAAAGCACCTGCCTGGCAAGTGCAAGGTCGTAAGTTCCATTCCTGGTACCAGAAAAAAAACAAAAAAAAAAAAAAAAAAAAAAAAAAAAAAAAAAAAATGCACTGACCACTGTGGGCAGAAAGGCAGGATGCAGTAACTTCTCATATCCACTCTGGTGGTCCTAGCAGAGTCTGTGCCAAGGGATGCACGGGGAGTACCAGGAAAGAACCCTTGAGTGTGAGGGACACAGGCCCAGGTGGCTGGAGGTGCCAGGGCATCCCATGGACAGAAGCTGGACCTCAGGGCACCACAACAGAATGATCCAGATTTAAACCAAAGTCACACTGGCCGCCTCCCAAAGCAAGCTGTCCTTAATGCCCAAGCACTGCCTTGGGGCCACCTGAATACCAGGGAGGGGGCTCTCACCACAACCAATACCCACTTCATACCAGGGAAACAGGCAGGCTGGCATTGAGGTGCCCAGAGTTCCTGACGAACCCAGGGACACAGCCCCTAGATTCCCACCTAAAGAATGGTGGGTTAGCAGCCAGGGGTATAACTCAGCAGCACAGTGCCTGTCTGCCAAGTACAAGGTCTCGAGTTCCTGGTACCAAAAAAAAAAAAAAGGTAGGTTGAAGTTGGGCATAGTAGTACACAGGCAATCCCAGCTACTCAGAAGGCTGAGACAGGATTGAAAACTCAAGGCCAGCCTGGACAACTTAGCAAACCCTGTCTCAAAATTTAAAAGAGCTAGGGATATAGCTCAGTGCAAGGACCTGTGTTCAAGCCCCAGTGCTACACTACGAAGACCAGTAGGCTAGTTTCATTGTTGGAAGCTAAGCACATCAAGGCACTGACAGTAGTGCCAACCAAGCAAGCCCCCAGAAAGCAGGCACTAACCGCCACTTGAAGAAATGGGACTCAGAGACTTGGCACCTTATTCCAGGTCAGGTGTGCTTGGGAAGGTTGGCTGGTCTCATCTCATACCCCTGGTGACCTCAGGGTAGAGGGCACACAGGTTGGGGTCTTGATTCTACCCCACCCTCAGTGCAGTAGGATGCTAGTGCATGCAGTGCTGGCAAGGAACCCATATGAGCTGTGTGCCTATCCAGACTGTCCTGGGTCTCTGGGCTACACTCATCCCCTCTGGTCCCAGCGAGTGGGAGACAACTTAGGTGACCCAGCCTGAGATTGACAGCCTCTGCCAAGGGCCTCACACATCTCCAGGGCCACGTGTTTCCAGGGGGTGGCCCAGCATCCGGCTGCAGCAAGTGCCCGCTGGCAGCAAGCAGCAGCTGTTTACCACAGGCACGGCCCCCTTCCTGTGCCTCCCTCCCTGCAGACACCTGCCCAACCCACCCCCAGGAGTCTATGAGGCCACTCGAGCCCCAGAATACTTTTCTGGGAAAGGGTGTTCCTGAAATAAATTCCAGTTTGGCTTCACCTCAGGAGCAGGAACCTTCCAAGGCTCTTTCCATGTCTGAAGGTCAAGTACAACTGGGTCTCTCCTGGGGCCCAGCAGCTACCCCTTTATTTGGACAGTGGAAAAGCCAGTTCCCTCAAGGGTGCATAGCCTGTGCCACAGAAAGTGGGTGCAAGGGGAATGGGCTTGCCAGGAATCCCTGCAGCCCTGCAAGGACAGGGATTATCCAGGGATTATCAACAGCTCTGGTTCCCACCAAGACACCATCCCACACTGCAGGTCCAGGAGTCCAAACAGAAGTGCTGGGCTCAGAGTCAGCACTGTGCCTGGAAATTCCAGCACACTGTGAGCTATGGGGCAGGGGCCTGATAGACTGCCACGAGGCTGATCCCAGTGCCACTTACTTTTATTCATGGACCCTCAGGCTCCAGAGCCATGAACACTTGGCTTCCAGAGGGCACAGGAAGAGAGAAGGGCCCTGGTAACCTCCTAGCATACTCCAGAGAGCCAGGACAGGCCTGGCAGCACCACCGCCTCAGGGTCAGCCACAGTGCCCCTGCCCAAGGGTGGCACTGTGGCCACAAGGGTGCAGGCACCAAGAGACCAGGCCTGGTTGCTAGGGACCCCTTCAGGGATGCCAGCACTGTCCCAGGCCCAGAGAGCTGATGCCATCCTGAAGCTGAGGCAGGGAAGGGGCAGGCTGGATAGTGAGGATGAAAGGAGAAGCTTCCTAAGTCTTCAGGCCAGAGGAGCAGCAAGGGACCAGGGCACCCAAGCTGGATGCAGGTGGGGCTGCACCTGTCCTACTTCCCGGCCATCTCAAGAACAAACCAGTCAGTCCCACCAGCTGGGAAAGAGAGGTCCCTCTTCTGATCCTGACAGAATGCTGGCAGGAACACCAAGATGGGAGGTGGAGCAGGAGAAGGGGCTGGGGTCAGGAACTGTGTAGGGCAGGCAGAGTCAGACAGCACCCAAGGTGCAGTCAGCCAAGGATGAAGGGCAGGGGCTGGCAGGGCCAGAGTTCCCCTCCAGGGACAGGAAAAGAGGGACACTGGGAGGAGGGGCAGGCCTCAGCCATCAATCCTGCCAGCCCTGAGGTTTGTGCCTGCTCAAACCTACACAACCCTTCCCCCCTCCCAGAAGCAGGGCCCACAGGATAGGAGGAAACCAAAATCCAGTGACTCCAATCTTTCTGAGGCCAGGGGAGGGGTACTGGACACTCTAGGACTTCTTGGTGTCCTGCGTGTTCCGACGCTTCAGGTCACTCAGGTCGATGGGCTTGAAGGCTGTGGGGACAGTGCAGTCAGCCCTGGCATGTGCCCCTCCAGCTCCTACCGCCGGAAGCCCTTGACTCAGACGTCGTGGGACAGGATGGGTGACCCATGCAGGAAACAGGTGGCCTTCCCACCCCTCTAGTCCACTCACTCTTCAGGCCAGGGTTGGGGACCTTCTCCACATACTCCTCCACCAGGCCCCGCTCACCACCCGACAGCTGGCTACGAAGGTCTCGCTCCACACCCTGCCAGGCTGTGAAAGCAGAAGGCAATGGGTCAGTGTCCAGGAGAGTCTGGGACTCTCCTCTCCTCTTCTCTGGAAGCATCCCCTGCCCCTATCACTCTCCTTCTGCCAGCCAACAGTGCCCTCTGGTGCCCAGCCCTCCCTGCCCCCAACCCTCCACGGGCCTGTCCCCTCTGTGCCATGGGTTACCTGAGCCCATCCTGGGCTTCCAAGAGTTGCAGACACGCGGACCTCGGCTCATTTTCCACCTCCTCCACTAACCCCCACTCTGGCCACTTTAGTGACAGCTTCTATGTTGCACCTTGTCTCTACCAGCTCCCTCCATGCTCCAGCCAACACCTCAGTGCTGAGAGCAGGCTGTAGACACTGCCTCTGCTGGTATGCTACCCACTCCCCACACCCTCCTCCTGCGCTGTCACCCCAAAGTGCCTGGCCCCTCAAAGGAGTAGGCATGACAGAGGTGTCCACACCTTGCTGGGAACAGGAGAGATAGGAAACGGCTTGAGGAAGTTTTTTTTTTTTTTTTTTTTTGGTACCATGAATTAAACTCAGGACCTTGTGTTTGCCAGACAGGCACTGTGCCACTGAGCTGTATCCCTGGCCTTTGAGGAAGTTCCTGACCTTCGTAAATGAAGCGCACATTCTCCTCATGGGCTGGTGTGAAGATCTCACTGCTGTTGGTGGGAGACCGGGGGCTGCTATTCCTCTTGCCGTTGTAGACAACTCTGGAGACAGGAGAACTGGGGATGCCCGGCATATGAGCATGGGACTGGGCCACAGGGCACAGTCAGCCACACCCCAACCCAGGAGGCAGCCCTCCACCTGCCCAAGACCCACCTGGTCATCGCTGAGAGGTCTGGTCCTAGTGCTCTGCTGCTGGATCCCCTCAGCCTCTGAAAAGGAAACCCCAGAGCACAGGACTGAGATGTAAGTGTCACTTGGTTGGGTATGGTGGCACATGCTCCTAATCCTAGCACTCATAAGGCTGAGGCAAGAGAATCACCACAAGTTTAAGGCCACCCTGAGCTACACAGTAAGGCCAAGGTTTGCCTGAACTACATAGTGAGACCATGACTCAAAAAAATACCGAAAAAAAAAAGGAGTGTTACCACCTCTGCTGGGGTGGGGGTACATCTACTGGCTCCCTCTAACAGTCATTAAACTATTTGGTTTTGCTGCCCAACAGTGGTGCCCCCATGGTTGCCTGGCAATCCCAGGCAGGTTACAGACATAGGAGAGCCAGCAGATGGGGACAGGACACCAGCTGCCAGACACAGGCAGGATCCACAGCAGTGAGTCACAAGCTTGGCCCACATCCCTGCCCCATTCCTGTTTTAGCTGGCGGCAGCCTCTCACAGGACAGCAGGGCTGGGTCCCCAGTTCTGCCCACATTGGCTGCTGCAGGGCTGGGTGGGTTGTTTCTGCTAAGCCTTGGCTTCTTGACTGTAAAATGGGGATAAGCTTCCCGATGAAGAGGAGTCCAGCAGACACTGGCCATAAGCCCAGCTTCCTGGCCCCTAAGGCCAGGGACAGGGGTGCCCCAGAGATGGGTTCAAACTAGGCCAGTGGGAGGGGTAGCCCTGGGGGAGGTGGCGCATGACCCAGTGACCAGGATCCTGGAATGTCGCTTGTTTACAGTCTCAGTATCAACCCAAGAGATTTTCACAGCCCTGGGGCGGGAATCTAATTTTAGGGTCAGACTCTCACCCTGCTGGTTTTGGATACATAGTAGCCCTAGAGGAAGCCGGCCATACAGGGCTGGTCCCAAGCCTGGCCTTGCTCCAGAGGGATCAATCCTGGGTGCCACGGTCATGGGGACCTGAAATGGGGGCTTTCAGCACAAGTGCCCTAGGGCCCAGAAGCACTATGCAGCCCAGAGGGCACCGCTGCAGCTTTCCCAGAGGCCAGGAGGGCCACAGGGTCATCACACAGTTATCCCATGTTTAAACACAGCACAGCTGAACACAAGCCCACAGCCAAGGGCAAGAAAGACAAAACAGCGCAAAGCCAGACCCCACGAGGGCACAGACTCTGAGTTGCTCCCAGCCCAAGGAGGTGCACAACTCACCCATCCAGGAACCTATGCTTTGAGACTCTGGGGTCTCTCTGCCCAGTCCTTCCCAGGGACAGCCCTCTTGGGCCTAATAATGACAGCGGGACAAGGTGGGGAAGCTCTATAGCTCAGGATGGAGATGTTTCCAAGGTCAGTTTTTCAGCGGCTGATAGACTGGCCAGCACCTGCCTCATGTCCTGCCTGGGCAGCCTTCTGTCCCCTAGAGTTTACCCTTTTCTGCCCAGGAATGATTGCTCCTTGGCTGGCTTTTGCCCCCCATCCTGCCTCCTGAGGCACCCCTTCTCCTGTGCAGCCTCACATGCTCTCACAAACCATGCCCTACACCTGGGTCCCCCTTCTGGCACTACTCCGGTTGGCAGTAGTTTGTGTCTGGCTAAGCAGAGGGAAACCTGAGAGTGTTTACTGGCCAGGGCTGAGGAAGCCAGTGTGTCCCTAGAGGCTGGCATGGAGCAACCCAGGACCACCGCTGGTGAAGTGGACTAGAAGAGGACCTAGGCCCCCAGAAGTGCCAGAGATGCCTACTGACCCTGCCAAGCCACAAGGGGTCATCTGAGGGTGCAGCCTGTAGCTCAGCAGTCCAGGTTAGGTAGGTGGTGGCCTTGCCCTGGCTGACTGGGGGACAGGGGAGGATGAATGGGATGGGCTCTGTTCAGACTGAGCAGTTAGGGAGAAGACCCCAATCCAGAGATCTCAAGAACCCACACAGCACCCTGCTCCCAGGGGACTCCATCCCACTGCAGCCCCCACCAGAAGAAAAGCAGAAATTTATTTATTTATTTATTTTTGTTTTGTTTTGTTTTTTTGGGTACCGGGAATCGAACTCATGACCTTCCGCTTGCCAGGCAGGCGCTGTGCTGCTGAGCTAAATCCCCAGCCCCGAAAAGCAGAAATTTAGCGCGAAGTCTCCTCCAGTTCCACACCCTAGACACTTCATGCCCTCATATTCTCAGTCACAATCATTTTCTCAGTACAGGGCATGACCTTTTATCCATTATACATCTCATCTACTCTAAGATGCTTTTGTCCTCCAAACATTGAAGTTGGTTCACACCTGGTGATTACTATCATGTCAAAGTCTGGCAATGTTTTCTCTTTCTTGGTGGCCCACAACATAAGGTGTAATTCCCAGTGGCAGTGTTTCAGACCAGATGGTCCTCAGGTGTGGTCTTCCAGTCCAGGGACCTCCTTCCCAAAGCTCCTCCACCACACCCTTCTTTGCATCTACTGCACCCTCTACCACCAGTGTGCACACCACAGTTCTAGCCTCCCCACCTTGAGAGTGAGCATGAAGATGCCAGCACCATCCTCCCAACACCTTTCCCCATGTCACTCACCAGTGGGCCACTGTCCAGCCCCTCTACTGCCATCAGAAAGCCCATGGCCCAGGTGTTTTATGTTTCCTCAGATGTCACCTGCTGCTATACTCCCCAATCCCAAATGTAATCTCTGCATAGAACCACCTTCCACCTGACACCCCAGGGGTCAGGGAGATGTGACGGTGCTCTGCAGGACTTGACTGCTATAACTGCATAGCCACAGAAGCAGAATAAACCTAGACAGAGTTTTCCATCCCTCTCTGCCTCAGGATCCTTATCTGAGACAAAGCAGCCCCCAGTGTGCTTGCCAGACCCTCTTGCTCCAACATGGACAGAAGGATAACCACATGAAGCCCGCAACTTCCCAGAGATAAAATCTCCCTGGCTCCACCTCCCTGGCAGGGCAGTTGGATAAATGGCCCTGGGGTACTGCTGCTTACTAAGAGACAGGAGAGTTCTGGGCAAAGTGGAATGTAGGGCCAGCCAGCTCCTATAGAGGTAGAGACTCAGCCTGAAGAGACCATGGTGGCCACAACAGACACCAGCCTGGAGCTGACCACAAGGCAGCCCCTGTGCTAGGCGCTTTATATACTCTCTCAGGTACTCACAGCTCGACTAGGAAGAAGGTCCCTGACAACACCTTGTTCAAAGGGTAAAGCCACCCAGCACAGGTGGACTCTAAGCAACCCCAGCCCTGTCCCACCAGGGCCTTTAGAGCCATAGCAGTTGGGTGAGACCCAAACGCATAGGCTGGCCTAAGCCTCCCTCAATTCTATCATCTGACGCGTCAGAGGTCAAACTCCTGGCCTCACACATGCTAGGCATGTATTCTATCCCCGAGCTAGACCCCTAGCCACTGTCTTAACCCTTCCCTGCACCCCATGGCAGGTTCCTGTACTTCCTGAAATGCCTGCTCCCCAGTGACATCCATGTGGCTCTGCTCCATGTGGCACTCACTCCAGATAGGGCAAGGGCTTCATTGGGTGGGTCTGTGTAAAAGTTCCTCCTCTGTGGAACTCAAGGGCTTCAGTGACTTCCTAGGGGGAGGCCAGGGACAACAGCATGGGTATAGAACCCATTTCAAATTCTTCTCAGGATTCAGAAGGTTTCCCTGGACACCATCTGCCCCAGGGACACTGCACACATAGGTGATACTCTGTTGTCTCCAAGTAGAACCAACCATATAATGAGTGGTTATTTTGTGTTCCTTTGGAGTTTCTACTATCGAAACTTCCCTAGGTCTTACTTCCATGTTCTGTATCCTTTTCAGCCAATGAGACCAGTAGAAAGCGATCGACCAGCCAAGCAGGTGCTAGAGGGACACTGCTGTGACAGGTGCCACACAGACCAGGTGGCCCTCTAAAGCCCTCTTTACCGGCCTATCGCTAGTTGCCCTCTTCATCACTCCACACCTGGAGATCCCGGCAACCCGACTCCCCGCCCCTGGGTCTGGCTCCGTCTTCTGTCCTCTAAATGCCCATCCTCTACATAGTCTCAACAACCCTCACCTACGTCACAGAGCTCTTTGCTTGAACTTGCCCTCTGCCCAAAACTCACTCCACTCCGCCTTGGGGACGGCGCAAAGACCACCGCTTCTGGTAAGTCTACCCTGGGAAGTATGGGCGCGTTCTGGCCCCTGTGTCACCACAGGGATGACATCTGTGGGGCTCCGTGGCGTCCCTGCGGCCGTGTCCGGTTACTGTCCCTAGTGGGCCTGGTCGGTGCCGCGGCACCAAAGAGCAGGGTAGAGGGGAAAGGGAAGGAAACTCAGAAGGGCCGGCGCGGTACAAGAATCTGGAGGCATCCCCGCAACATCCCCCGGGCCGCGGGGACGGGACATCGGTCCACCTCAGTTCCCCGGGCGGAAGGGCCCGGTCCACGGCGGCCCCACTCCCGGTTTACGCGGGACCTGCTAGCCCTCCCCGCCCACCAGGCCCGGTGACAAGGCGACACTAGGGCGGGGCAGG